TTATCTGCTACAAAATCCCACAAATATATAAAACTTTCTTTTTTTAAAATATATTTTGATTTTGTACAGAGAGGAAGGGAGAGAGATAGAGAGCTAGAAACATTGATGAGAGAGTCATCGATCAGCTGCCTCTTGCACATCCCCCACTGGGGATATGCCCACAACCAAGGTACATGCCCTTGACCGAAATCGAACCCGGGTCCCTTTAGTACCCAAGCCAATGCTCTATCCATTGAGCCAAACCGGTTTTGGCAAAACTTTCTAATCTATTTTGATATTATATATTTATATTTGGCTGTGCAAGTTTCACACCCAAACTCAGTTATTCTTCATTTTGAAACTCTGGCTGATTTTACAACCTTAATCTTTCTAATACATTTTAGAATTTGTTTTAAAATTCTTCAATTGCAATTGCACTAAACTAATAGATTATTTAATAAGTTATGGATATATTGAAATCAAATCAACAGCATACAAAATTTTAGTTGCTTGCATTCCTACTCACACTGGCTTTAGACATTAATGTGGACTAATTACCCTTAAAAATCCAGCAGTGAGGGTGGCTTCCCACACAGTTCAAACAGGGCACCAGCTCAGTTTCCCCATGATTTTCTGGGCTTCTTGTGTGCTGTTTTCCTTCATTCACACAACAGCTGCCAGCAGCAACCTCAACTATGTATTTCTTGGTCCATACACACACACACACACACAGAGGCACTATTCCTCAAGTACCTAACAAACGATCTGAGCTTTGTCTTTGACTTGGGGACCACCATGAGCTAGTAGCTGTGGCCAGGGAAATGTGGTGACTGACTGGTGCACAAACCCACAGGGGCCTACCTTTGGGTCTGTGATGGAATCATTCCAAGTCAAACCAGTAAGCCGCTACAAAATAGGGGGAATTAAAATAAATGTTGGGATTAACCTTGAAGTCCACTGCAGTTAGCCCAATGAAAACTTATAATTTAAAAATGTCCCCCAGAAATGTCAACGTTCTTATATCATAGCAACACACATCTATTTAAAATACGCACAAACTCACTTATGTAGGTATGTACCTACATGGCCACAATCTATGTGTATCCTTACAAAGCCTAATAATTGGAACCAAAACGTGAAATTGCTATATCAAAATATTGGCAGATACTGAACAAACTCATATAACAGTTGAACAAATAATTCATTGTGCTGGTTAGAATATTATTTTGCCTACCTTACTGCCCACCAATCAAATTGTTGATTCCCATGACCTTTGTACTTACTCAAAATAGCCCATTTACTTTCTTTCTTCATGCCAAAACGTCATTCAGTTTTATCTCATCATTCACAGCCAGCTTATTATAAAATAGTCTCTTAGTTGCTGTGAGCATGTAATATGTATTTGATTAGGATACATGTGAATATATTGTTTTCTCTAAATATCCCAAGCCCTCTTAAAGGCAAAGTCTTATCCTATCTAGTCTGTCTATTGAAGATCCTAGTAAGGAGTTTAGCAGAGATCACTGGTATGTTAAGGATTACCCAATAAATATTCATGAAGTAAAACATCATTAATTTTATAAACTTTATTCTGTATAATTACATGTGGGAAGCACACTATTAAACAAGGATTCATGAACCTGTATTCCTCCAAACTAGATTCCTACTGGCCTTATACCATGTCTTGTCATACTCACCTTCATTGTTTGCAACTCAGTTGAACAATCATTTATTTTATAGCTATGATGTGCCCATATATGCTAGGTCCTAAGGATACAAATGTTATTAATAAATCACTTTGTCTTCAAGGGATCAGAGTCTAGTAATTTAATATCCCTTTTTAGAACATCCTCCCTACCCCTTTTCTGTCTTATTCTAATCCTTGTTTCTTCCCTTAGCATGTGATATGCATTCATCTTATTTTCTACTTAATCTTCAGTAACATCAGTGGAGCTATGAATCTCATCTTTTTCTGAGTGTGCAGGGTTGTAAGAAGGAAGACGTCAGATTAAAAGGAAGGTAGGAAAGTGGGCTATGAGGGGTAGGTCTTAGCAGGAAAGAGGCATTACAGGCTGCGGAAGGCAAACTGCTCCATGTTTAGAAGCTGCTAACCGAGAGACACCACCATTTCAGTTACCTGTGCTAAGGAGACAAAATGCCATGAGTGAGGAAAGGTCATGGGGTAATCAACTTGCATTAAAAGGCATCAGCCTGGCTGGTGTTTCTCAGTGATTGAGCATCAACCTATGGACCAGGAGGTCACACTTTGATTCCCGGTCAGGGCACATGCCCAGGTTGCAGGCTTGATCCCCAGTAGGAGATGTGCAGGAGGCAGCCAATCAATGATTCTCTCGTCATTGATGTTTTTATCTCTCTCTCTCCCTCTCCCTTCCTCTCTGAAATTAATTTAAGTTTTTTTTTGTTTTTTTTTTAAAGGACAGAGTCACTTTCCATGCTACCCAGGAAGGGCTCCATACAGCGTTGTTCTCGGTTCCCACGTAACTTAAAGGGAAACTTCACAATGTCCGGAGCGCTTGATGTCCTGCAAATGAAGGAGGAGGATGTCCTCAAATTCCTTGCAGCAGGAACCCACTTAGGGGGCCTTGACTTCCAAATGGAGCAGTACATCTACAAGAGGAAAAGCGATGGCATCCAATCTGAAGCTTGATGATGGGAGAAGCTTCTGCTGGCAGCTCGGGCCATTGTTGCCATTGAAAACCCAGCTGACATCAGTGTCATATCATCCAGGAATACTGGCCAGCGAGCTGTGCTGAAGTTTGCTGCTGCCACTGGAGCCACTCTTATTGCCAGCCGCTTCACCCCTGAAACCTTCACCAACCAGATCCAGGCAGCCTTCCGGGAGCTCAGACTTCTGGTGGTGACTGACCCGAGGGCTGACCACCAGCCTCTCACAGAGGCGTCTTATGCTAACCTGCCCACCGCTGCTCTGTGTAACACAGACCCTCCTCTGCGCTATGTGGACATCGCCATCCCTTGCAACAACAAGGGGGCTCACTCAGTGGGTCTGATGTGGTGGATGCTGGCCAGGGAAGTACTGGCATGCGTGGCACCATCTCCCGTGAACACCAGTGGGAAGTCATGCCTGATCTTTCCTTCTACAGAGATCCTGAAGAAATTGAGAAGGAAGAACAGGCCGCTGCTGAAAAGGCTGTGACCAAGGAGGAATCTCAGGGTGAATGGACTGCTCCTGCTCCTGAGGTCACTGCTGCTCAGCCTGAGGCTGCAGACTGGTCTGAAGGCGTGCGGGTGCCCTCTGTGCCCATTCAGCAGTTTCCTACTGAAGACTGGAGTGCTCAGCCTACCACTGAACACTGGTCTGCAGGCCCACTGCTCAGGCTACTGAGTGGGTAGCAACAACCACTGAGTGGTCCTGAGCTGTTCTCCCACAAATTCTAACAGAACGGAAATAAGGTTGATGGAAAATAAACAGTTTCAAATAAATAAATAAATAAATAAATAAATAAATAAATAAATAAAATAAAATAAAATAAAAAGGACAGAGTTAGATTTATCTTCCTTACAGCCTGAATCAATCTGACAGTAATGCATCTGTCACATAACACACACACATACACACACACACACACACACACACACACACACACACACACACACCTTTTCTCTAAACTTCTTTAAATAAGGTTGGGATAGAGAAGGGAGAAAAGATGTTTATTTTACAATTAGTGACTTAAATCAAGTACATGGTTGAGTCAATACATCACCGTGACTGATTTCCCATCATCAATTAATCAACACGTATAAATGATATATTATTCATTTCTCCTCCTCAGCTTCTTTGCAATATGGAAAGGAAAAGTGGAAGGCAGAGTAGTGGGAGAGATGAAGCTCTTAGGAGACCAAAACATGTTTGTTAGGGCAGAAGATGAGACCATCACCACAGAGATGTAAGAAAGAAGGCTGGGTCAGGAAAGACTCAGATGTCACCTAGGATTGCCTCGCCGAGTGTGCAGACAAGTAGTAACTGGAGACTGTGGGTCAAGAACCTACTAAAGCAAATAACTCTACTTGGTTGGATTTAAGGTTTTCCTTGTTGTTATTCATTTCTTAATACTAGCAATTTCATATAGAAGCATTTCATTTAGAAACAATTCATTAAGAAATGTAAGAAATACAAATATTTGTCATTTTTATTTTCTTCTGTTTCAAATTAACAGCCCTTAGTAAAAGGACACTATAAATGTATCTCTGCAATAGTTTTTCTTTATTTTTAAATACATATTCTTTGGGGAAATTTTTTTAGGTCAATGTAATAGAATAAAAAGTGTATTTCCATACAAAACATTCCCCAGAAACTTCATATGCCAAACATTACATGAGGTAAACTATTGATCTGAGCCACATGACATTTCTGAGTTTGTTCATGAAATGAATTTTAATATAGAATTTACACTAGAGAAGTTGACCCTGCCAAAACTGAATTTTAAATCACTTAACAGTATATTTGTCATGCAAGAAAGGATTACAACCAAAAGTACACTTTCTAAAAAAAAAAAAATTAGCATGTTTTTAAAAATTTACAAAATATACTTATGTCTTATACATAAGACAAAATCACGGTGGATTACAAATAACCTAATTCCATAACTACATTTTTCATTGCAACCAATTGTTACTACCGATCTGTAAATCTCCAGTGCAGAAGCATTTCACATCTTGAAATGAAAATCCATAGTTACTAAAATTTCATGTTTGAAAAAAACTATTTCGTCCCTGTGTGGTAGAGAGCTCAGTGAGAAGGCTATTTTCATCATGTCTCAACTTATAAAAAACCTTTAAAACCACTATTTCAGAGAAATCATTTTGAAGAGGGGAAAAAGAACCATTTCCATTCAACAAATATTCAATCTAAACATTTATCGATTGACTATATTCCAATCACATAGTACCTTTGAAAATGGTAGACCAGAAGTATAGTAACCTTCCAAAAAATAAATGTAGTAGCAAAAATCTACATAATTCAAGTAGTTTTATGTTATTACCTATTTATGTCTTCTAACAGGAGATCAAAATCTTGAAGTTTCTTTTGATATTTCTTGGTAAAATGACAGAACTCATTAAAAATTGAAGATTTCAAATCAGGGTATGGGCATTCCAAAGCTTCTAATTCCATTGGCAGTTCACTCAGCAGGTTCCTCCTTTCTTCTGAATAATGATCTACTATCTGAAAAGTAAATTAAATGATTGTTTTATTTAACACCAATGACAAATTGATAAACAAATTACTGTCTGCTTCACACTTACTTTAATACTCCGGTCTGAAAGATTATTTTCCAAATTCTGTTTCTCCATGCTAAGTCTTTCAAAGACAGCTTTTAATTGTTTCTTCACAAAGTCAACCTATTGGAACATTTAGAACAAATATTATGCAAATTCTTTTTGTGATTCATTCAATATGTATATTTAAATTCACAGGAATTCATTTAAAAAACCAGTAAGTGATGAGAAATTAGGTAAGAGAATCTGCCTTTGAGGACCCGGGGAAGAGGGCTCAAGCGATGCCACAGCCAAGCATGTGTTTATCAGAGGGTCTTCCAGACACATAACTCAAACTAAGCTGGAAGTACATTGGGGTCCTAGCCTCTGCACCTGCATTTTGATTTTGTTTGTGGTGAGGCAGAGAGCTTACCAGATTGTCTGTTCCAATCACCCTTTCCTTCCCTTGCAATCTTGCCTCTAACCCCCAGCTGGGCAAGATTTTAAAATATTCTTATAAATTATTATTTATGAAAGCAATATAACAACACTGCAGACGAATGAAAAAATAGAGCAAGAAAAATCACCTAAAAGCCTACATCTAGTGCAACTATGATCATGGAATTTATGCTGTAGTCAGGAGATAGTCAATAAACTAATGAAAAATAGCTATGAGAATATGAGGAGGAGGTAAGTAATGTAAAAATAGGTTGAGTAATATGGAGTGACTATGTCTTCTCTCAAGTGGACTATCATAACAGGTCACTCAGAAGAGAGGACATTTAAGCAAACACCTAAAAGACAAAAAGTATCCTCAATGAAACAGAGGAAATAACCAGCGCACAGGCCCTGAGACAGGAAGGAAGAGCCTGGTAAGTGTGAGAAGGAATAGAATGAAGGCCAGTCTAGTGACAGAGTCTAGGGCTGGTTGTCAAATATCAACAATACCACGATTGAAATTTCTTTTGAGAGCGAAATTTTTTAAACTTAAACTTCTTTTAACATCACTTCTTCAAAATAGACTCACCCAGGCCGTGGTATTTTGTGGAAGAGCCACACTCAAAGGGCCAAAGAGTGGCAGGTGGCTCGCGAGGTGCAGTTTGCTGACCAATGGTCTATGAGGAAGAGGGTTTCAGGTAGGAGATGAGATTGAAGAAGCAGGGAGGGATATGATGTGGGCCGGTAGGAGCCCTGAGGGGATTTACCAGGGGAATGAATGGCTTGATCCCCATGCACTGAAGATAGATCCCAGAATGCAATGGGAGGAGCAAGAATGAAAGCAGGGAGAATAAGTATGAGGCCAATGTAACATTTCAGGTTCCAAATGAACAAGCTTGGACAGATTTAGGGATGTTTAAGATACTGCATAGACAGAATTTGCTGTATCTTCTATTAAAATACACGCATGTTGGTTTCTTATCACAAATTATTCTAGTTGGGACAAAAATGAAATATTACATTTTTAAAAGTAAAGGTAATATACTAACCTCTTCCAGTACATCAGTGTGTGAGTGTGGATGTTGTGCAATGTGATGCTGTCTATATTTTAGGTCTGCTATCAATTGCTGAATAGGATTTATCACATTCTTAAGATACAGGCACCATTGTTCAGATAGCACTTGTTCTATAGTGAAACAAAATTAAATCAAGATAACACATTATTTAAAAATTTTAAGAACAGGTTCTTAGAGTGCAGATTTCTTTTTGGATTATTTTAGAAAAAAAAACAGCAGTTAATAAAAGAACATGAAGTGAGCAGTCCACTTTCATTTTCAAAACACCCCTTTAAATATAGGATAAAAAAAAAATCTCACCAAAATTCTTAAGGTCAGACAGACATTCATTCCCAATGTGCTCTTCTTTGAAAAAAGATTTTATTTCAGATTCCACTTTACACCTGAAATAGACATTACTGGGTTTTAAAAATATGGGTTTAAAAAATAGTAGTATAATTTAATCTAATGTGGTTTTATTCACCAGTTTATTTATTCTGATCATATGCTAAATTCCTAGCATGGATTTGGTACTTGCCTGACACTATCAGTGAACATTTGGTCTCTCCAAAATGTCCATTGAGACATTTGGTCCATACCAAAAGGTCTTTGATAGCTCATCCTGACCAAAACATCCATGGAGACTTTGATCTATGGCTAACGGTCCTGGAAATTTGGTCCTGTCTAAAACATCCATGAGCATACTTGGTCCATGCCAAATGGTCCTTGGTTCTGTCAAAAAATGCCCATGTTTAGGAAATGCTGGATTCAGATAAAAATGTTTATTTCTACTTTTGGCTTACAGGAATAATACATTAAAAAGTACTATCATGACCGTAGCTAAGACTTGGAAACAGCCTAAGTGCCCATCAGCAGATGAGCAGATTAAAAAACTGGTAGATCTACACAATGGAATACTACACTAAAAAAAGGAGTACTTACCATTTGTAACAGCATGGATGGAACTGGAGAGTGTTGTGCTAAGTGAAATGAGCCAGTCAGAGAAAGATAAATATCACATGATCTCACTCATTTGTAGAATATAATGAACAACATAAACTGATGAACAAAACAGATCCAGAGACAGAGAAACATTGATCAGGCCGTCAAATCTCAGAGAGAAGGTAGGGAAGGGTAGGGGTAAGGGGAAGAGATCAACCAAAGGACATGGATGCATGCATATAAGCCTAACCAATGGATATAGACAACAGGGAGGCAAAGGCATGAGTGGGGGCGATGGGGAGGTAATGGGGGAATAAGGACACATGTGTAACACCTTATTCACCTTATCAATAAAGAAATTTTAAAAAGAAGTATTATCGTGTTTTATTGGTCCAATAGGGTTGTGACTGAATTGCCAGTAATAGCCCTTCTTGCCTCAGTAGCCTAGCTGGTAGTGGCAAATGGGAGTAGCTAGATGGTTCCAGGCTGGAATCTTGCAGAAGAGAAGAATTTATATTAACTATGCATGTTTTGGACAGGACCAAATATCAAGGCATGGACCAAACACCAACATCTGTGGATGTTTTAGTCAAGACCAGATGTTTTGCAAGGAAAATAAGCTCAAGTGAACATTCTGGGAGAAGTAACAGCGAAAACCAAGGTGAGCCTGTGACATGCCCTAGCACCACTTCTTTAGAGAGAGTTCAGGGCATTGGGAAGCCATTGTGGGATACTAAGCTGACCTCCCCTGCTCAGCAGATCTGTGTTTCAGAAAGATTCCTAAGGCAGCAAGATGCAGCACAGACTGGAAAGACAGTGATCAATAGAAAAGGAAAATAAGCAGGAGGGGACAAGGTAAATCTGAACAACAAAGAGGTTATTTTAAAAGTTAAGAGAAAATGAACTCCTTGAGCTAAGGAAATAAAGGTAAAAGTATAGTTGATTTTTATACAGTAGTAAAAGGAACAAATCTTAATGACCTTTTACATATTAATTAAATATAGTGATTTTTAGCCTTACTTGGTTTCTCAGTGGTTAGAGAAACCAGTCAAGGGCACATATCTTGGTTGTGGGTTCAATACCCAACCCCAAAAGGACTGAGTCAACCAGTTGATGTGTTTCTCTCACATCAATGTTTCTCTCTCTCTCTCTCTCTCTCTCTCTCTCTCTCTCTCTCTCTCTCTCTCTCTCTCTTTCCCTCTCTCCCTCCCTCCCTCCCTCCCTCCTCCCCTGTTCCCTCTCTTTCATTCTCTCTAAAAATTAATGGGAAAATATCATCCAGTGAGAATTAAAAACAAACAAAAAAGAAATATAGTCATTTTTAGAGTAAAAGCATTTAAGCAAACAATAAGCAAAGAGACACAGGTTGAAAAAAGGCAGAGCAAGAGAGGAAGTTGAAGTTCTATAAATGAAACTAACAGCCAGGAGATCTACAGAAAATTAGGGCAGCAGTGCAGGCTGAAGGCCAAAGCTTTAGTCCTCCAACAAGGAAGGAACTCAGCAGTGCCGACAGCTTGTGCCTTAGACTCAGCTATTTGATCCACTTCTCACTCTTGAAAGTGTCCTAGGTGAGTGCACACAGAGGACAGGTAAGGCTCACACCTGTTAGCTAAGCTCTCTGGTGCTCTGAGTCACACAGTATGAATAGTGATTGATCTCAGTGTAATTTTTAGAGATTCATTTCCAGACAGCATTTACTTGTTGGTAAAACCCATGATATCCTCTGCCTAAAGATGATACTTTTTAAAATAATGCTTTAAAGCAAAAATTGTGAGCAAGACTACATATATTACTAACAGATATTTGGTTATAAAAGCATCCCTTGCAGAAATGATAGTAAAAGTAGTAAGGTGAACAAGTAAGCGTTCAAAATTTATTATTCCAAAATCCTTATTAAAATAAAAATTATAATTCTTTATCACACAACCAATATAAATAACTTTTTTTCCAAACATCTAAACCTGCCATTCTGAAACAAAGGAGCAAGGGACCCTGGGGAAGTACACCAAGGTCTTCAAGACTTGTAGTTTGAAAAAAAAAACATTAATTATTAAATACAATTTTATATTTAGAGATTTTATGTGACCAGAAACATTTTTTTAAATATATATTTTTATCGATTTTTTTACAGAAAGGAAGGGAGAAAGATAGAGAGCTAGAAACATCGATGAGAGAGAGACATCGACCAGCTGCCTCTTGCACACCCCCTACCAGGGATGTGCCCGCAACCAAAGTATATGCACTTGACCGGAATCAAACCTGGGACCTTTCAGTCCACAGGCTGACGCTCTATCCACTGAGCCAAACCAGTTTCGGTATGACCAGTTTCTTTATACAGATTTCAAAGAATTAAAGTTCAGCAAAATCTCATGTGTTTTTTTCTAGGAAGGCTAGACCAGTTAAATGTGAAAGAAGAAAAAGCTACTCAACACTAAGTACATGGAGCACGGCGTAAAAGGCAAATGCTCTAATCCCACCTCCAGATAAACTAGCTGATTTGCTGTCTGCAAATAGCTTTAATTTTCTGAACCTCAAGATTCTCCTCTGTAAAATGAGGATAGCATCGATACCTTCTCTGCAAGTATATCGCAGGGAGTAAATAAAGCATATAAAGTAGTTAATACATATTACCCAGCACATATTAATTTATCCCCCCCAAAATTAGATGACACTGTAGGCCCAGAAGGTAATTCTTCAGGCTTAATATTGTCAAATGAAGTCTCTCACGATGATGTGTAAGAATATTTTGCTTTTTTTAAAGGTTAAGAAACACTGATGGAGCTTAAACTCCTGATTTTCTGGTAGCCCCCAAATTCTCCACAAATCTAGCCATACTCTAACTGTCCTCCTTTTGCTATTTTTTTTAATTTCACTGACCACATTTTGAAATTAGCCTACTTTCTAGAATAGCACAGAAAATTTTCTTGAACTTCTTCTTGTCCAGTTTTCAGCTCTTAAAAATCTCAAGACATTAAGGTTATTCTTACATGAATGTTCCTCATCTTTGTGTCATGCCAGGTCAACAAAAAGAATTACTTTCCACAATGCCATGTACATTATATGCCTCTTCCATCTAGCTCAAGAGCAATACAGTAAGAGAATATAAAACAGTCAAAATACAGACCATTCCTGCCCTAACTTGTTTGGCTCAGTGGACAGAGCATCAGCTTGCAGACTGTAAGGGTCTGAGGTTCGATTCCGGTCAAGGGCATATACCTTGGTTGCGGGCACATCCCCAGTAGGAGGTGTGCAAGAGTCAGCTGATCAATGTTTCTCTCTCACTCATCGATGTTTCTAACTATCCCTCTCCCTTCCTCTCTGTAAAAAATCAATAAAATATATATATTTTTTTAAAAAACAAAAAACGTTCACTAAGGTCTTCCTTTACATTTGAGCTTGCATCAATTAGCAGTCACCTCTGATGGCTTTCCTTTTTGTCATGTTTCAATTCATGCAAATTTCCCCAAACTTTCTCTCCACAATAAGTGACCTTTTGAGGGGCAAGTCTTATAAGATAGCAGCAGTATGGTGACAAAATCTATATAATTTTGTTTTTCTGTGTGTAAAATTATATAATGATATAAAACCATTTCCAATCATGAGCCTTTTACTTCACATGTAGAAATCTTGTGGCAAAATAAAAAACTCCTATGAATATAAAAGTGTCAAAAGTAAAGTTAATGGTTTTTGGCAATTTGACTTAGAATAAGACCACAAATTTACATATTTACATGATATAAAATCTACATTTTTTCCCATTCATTTATTTTATTTTAAATATTTTTATTGATTTTAGAGAGGAAGGGATAAGAAGAAATAGATAGAAACATCAATGATGAAAGAATCATTGATCAGCTGCCTTCTGCACACCCCTCACTGAAGATCAAGCCCACAACCTGAGCCTGAGCCCTTGACTGGAATCAAACCTGTGACTTCTCAGTCTGCAGGCCGATGCTCTATCCACTGAGCCAAACCAGTTAGGGCCAAAATCTACATTTTTAAAAGCATACTTTACAAATACTACTATCTTTAAAACTAATATATGTGCCTCTAATGGAGGGAATAATCTGCCTTCTCTTTTTGCTTTAACCTGTGGGAAGACATTTATTTTTCAAAGATTATAATTAAGATTAAGTATAGAATCATTATTTTGTTTTAATTCATCTTGAAATGAATGCTGGGGAAAAAAATAAAAGTCAGAAATCAAAATTGAATAAATGAGTCACGATGTAGCTCCATCCAGAAATCACTGAGCAAGTGAAGGCCCTTAGTTTATTTGTGCATTTATTTATTGAAAACATTTATATGTCTCCTATAACATATCCTGCAATGAAAAAATGAATATGATGGGATGGTTGCCCTACTTACCACTTTCACAGATAAAATTATCTTTTTCTCTGAAGGAAAGCAAAAGTCATTTTAATATAGTCACTGAATTCCTAATTAAATTGAGGAAATGAAATTATTTTAATTTGGCTCACATTCAAACTGTAACTTTCAATTTTGGTTATAATAGTTTAATTAACATGGAGGGTTATAGAACATCTAACTAAATCAATGCAAGTCTTAGTAATTCCTCTGTGTATTTACTGAGATTTCCCCTAGTCCTTACCTGACTTCCTTTAGCCTTTGGTGTTCCTGCCACCACACCTGCCTGTGCTGTTTTATTAGCTGTTGCTCCTTAGATATCTTTGAAGTCTCCACTGCTTTTCTGATCTAGATTTAAAGAAACAATAGATGAGCCATTTAAAATTCTTAAAATGTGCTTTCCCGATGGAAATGTTTAATCTGTATTTTCTAAATTAAATACTTACTCTTTTTCAAACTTATTAGTGCATCTTTTAACACAAAATTTACCTTAAAATAAGTATTATATTAAAAAAAAAAAAAAAAAGCAGGGAAGTGAAAGAGAAAATGGTTTGGAATACTGACCAGTCTAAGAACTGTTTTTAAAGCATTTATGAAAAGATAGATGAAGTGGTTATATTTTCCATACAAACAATAAATAACACCTAATTCATTCAGTCCCAGGTCATTTTTCCATGTATTTTCTCACCTTCTGACATACTTTCCCTGCCAGGTACCATAAACATCCTTAGGCCCATTTTACAGATGAAGATACTGATGTTCAGAGAAGTTAAAAATGAGAATCACACAGAACCTCAGTGTCTGAATTGGTTTTTATCTGATCCTTCAGCAAAGGATGAACAAAATCATTGGATAAATGATTAGGAGGCCTGGCTATATAACCTTGAACATGCAATTTTACATAACTTTGTAAATAATTTCTTTTTAAATATATATATATATTTGTTGTTGTTGTTGTTGTTGATGATGATGATTATATTTTACAGAGAGGAAGAGAGAGGGATAGAGAGTTAGAAACCTTGATGAGAAAGAAACATAGACCAGCTGCCTCCTGCACACCCCCTACTGGGGATGTGTCCACAACCAAGGTACATGCCCTTGACCAGAAAAGAACCCAGGACCCTTCAGTCCGCAGGCCAACGCTCTATCCACTGAGCCAAACCAGTTTTGGGTGTAAATAATTTCTTTAGTATTTATTTGAAGATACTTGAAATAGCAAAAATTTATATACATTAAAACCCATATTTTTAAAATTGAAAATTTACCCACATTTTATGACTTTAGAAAAGGTAGCATAGAGTTAACACTAGGGTTTCTGTTGACAAGTTCTGTCAGGCTGGGGTTTGTTTGCCCTAAGATCCATTCTTGGCCATCACTCTGATCTGCTCCATATCACAGAGTAGCCTGTGCTTCTCAAACACTCCTATCAGCTGGCTTCCTGTTGGGCTCAGCCAAGAGAGAACACTAGCAGTGGAAGATGGGAGGGAAGGAGGAAAGGAGAAGCCAAAAAATGACTGCTCCTACCTCTCTACTCTCACAGGGATCTCTAGGAGCAGCTCCATCTTTTCCTTTTGTCCCAACTTTTCTTGACTACAGCTCCAACCATCTCTGGGTAGGTAAGCTCCATTCATGAGATGTGGTACAGCCTTGCTTATGTTATTGGATTTATTGAGGTGATATTGGTCCACATGTCTCTTTGACTTAGGCATGGCATGGTTTCCTGCTGTTTTAATCTCATACTGCTTACGGGTCCTGTTTGGCTTCGCAGCTCTACCACCTGGGTAACCATTTCCTGAATTAAATACCCCTCTGCTCAGTAAAAACCTCCTCAAGTGGTTTGTTTTCAGGTTAGACTCTGACCAATACTCATGTGTATTTCCAACTTGTGAATTCCATATTAGTACTTTTAAACACTTACAAACGTGCTACTCATATCAGAGACTTGATGAAAGATGCATATTTTTCATTTTCTCTGCTACTAGTAGCCTAAAAGCTTTAACAGACCAATACTTAAAATGTAAAAACTTCAGAAAACAAGACCTAAAAAGACTCTATAATGCATGCTATATCTAGCTGTCATTCACTGATTGCTTTAACCTTGAATTTATCTTTCTGCTCTTCTAGTTACTGATTCAAAATTAGGCCTAGAACAAAACAAAATAACCCAAACATTGCTTTAGAAAAAAGTCAAAGTCACATCTATTCTTCAGAAGGTCTTAAGAGTGCTACAATCATGAAATTTAGAAGTACATTCAAATAACAGGACCCTACCAGATACATTAAGAATCTCTATTTGATCTATACACACAAAAAAGTACATAGAGCTGAAAGCGGTTTGGCTCAGTGGATAGAGCATCGGTCTGCAGACTGAAGGGTCCCGGGTTCAATTCTGGTCAAGGGCATGTACATTGGTTGCAGCAACATTCACGATGGGGAATGTGCAGGAGGCAGCTGGTCAATGTTTCTCTCTCATCGATGTTTCTAGTTTTCTAACCCTCTCCCTTCCTCTCTGTAAAAAAATCAATAAAATATATTAAATTAAAAAAAAAAGTGCATAGTAATACCATGTATCTCTAAAAACTGACACTCTCCTAAATTCATTCCAACTATTTGTCATCTATTGTCTCTAAAGTTTGTTGTAGCAGACACAACTTTTAAAATTAGATTTCTTTGACATATTTGATTCATGTTGTACAAAAAGTTAAAACACATTGGTAAAAGATGTAGACACATTTTTATAGCTTTAAAAAAATCAATACTGTTGCCTTTGGGCCCAGGGAAAGACAAATTAAGTAGACTATAAACATCAAAATAAAGTTACTATTTTTCACTAGACACTTCCAATACCTTACAGAACATTCTAATTTTTTTTTTTGTAAATTCACTCATTGACTTCACTTCTATCCCCAAGCCAAAAATTAAGAAAAATAAAGTCTTAAAAAAGTGAAAAGTTTTAAGATTGTATCTTTATCAATATAGAGATTTTTCAGGTTATTCCAATTCATGTTGCTGGGCAATGAGTCATATGAAATCAATATTTAAGATAGATGATGATTTATGCAGAATGCTGATGAATTTAAAAAAACAAAAATAATAAATTCATAAAAGAATCAGAAACCAGGGTTCCTTATGGACTTCATTGTGATTATCCAAAATAAAATTTAAACAGGCACCTTGAAATGCCATAAAAGCCCTTTACACCAGATGGTCCATCTTTAAATATAAATAACAAAAACTGGTTGACTATTTAAGTGTATAATAACACATATACTTAAGTGTTGGTTACATGTGTATAGATATCTAACATAATAAAAGATTAATATGCAAATTAACCACCACTCTGCTACACCCACAAGCCACGCCCACCAGTCCATCAGGAGCACATATGCAAATAAACCCAACCAAGATAACTACAGCCACAGAGAGCAGGAGGGAGGCTTGGGTTTCCCTGGCAATGGAGGAAGCCAAGCTTTCCACATACCCTGGCTGGCCTAGGCCTCCACTCAAGACTACCAAGTTTCAATGACAGAAGATAGATAAATCCAAACAGAAAAGGCTGCAGCCACAGAGCTGGAAAGAGAAGAAGGCTAGGGTTGCCCCTGGCAATGGAGGAAGCCAAGCTTTCCACATACATTGGCCAGCCCAGCCTCCTCTTAAGGATACAAAGTTTCAATTATGAAAGATACATAAGTCCCAAAAGAAATGGCTGCTGCCATAGAGCAAGCAGAAGGCTTGGCTCCACTCCAGGCTACAAAGTAAAAGGTAAATAAATTCCAGATACCAGGGCCTCTGTTTAGGTTGCCAGGGGGCTTGGCCAGCCTGCAAACCACCATAGGCCACTCACACAGGCTGGCCTACACCCAAAGGAACCCCCACACTGATCTGGGACATCCTTCAGGGCAAACCAGTGGGACCCCACCCATGCACCAGGCCTCTATCCTATCTAATAAAAGAGTAATATGCAGATTGACCATCACTCCAACATTCAAGATGGCTGCCCCATGTGGTCAAAGATCCTGCCCCCATGTGGATACAAGATGACCAGAAGGGGAGGACAATTGGGAGGTACCAGGCCTGCAGGGAGTACAGTTGGAGGTGACCAATCTGCAGGGGAGGGCAGATGGGGTGACCAAGCTGGCAGAAGAGGGAAGCTAGGGGCATCCAGGCCTGCAGGGAAGGGCAGTTAGGGGCAAACAGGCTGGCAGGGGAGCAGTTAGGGGGTGATCAGGCTGGCAGGCAGAAGTGGTTAGGGGCAATCAGGAAGGCAGGCAGGTGAGCAGTTGGGATCCAGCAGTCCTGGATTGTGAGAGGGTTGTCCCTCGAGGGGTCCCAGATTAGAGAGGGTGCAGGCTGGGCTGAGGGACATTGCCCTCCATGCATGAATTTTGTGCACTGGACCTCTAGTTTAAATATAAATAACAATAACCAGTGGACTGTTTAAGTATATAATAACACATATATTTAAGTATTGGTTACATGTGTATAGATATTTGTCAAAATTCATTGAGATGTACACCTAAGATTTGTATACTTTATTATATGTGAATTATAACTTAATAGAGAATTGTTAAATAAATAAAAAGGAAAAACAATTATATACACTAAATTGCAATTTCATATTTATCAGGTTGGCAAAACCACAAATGTTTAACAAAATACTCTTTGAGATTATGGGGAAACATGCCCTCTCTTTAGTTGCTAATGGAAATACAAAATTATGCAAACCCACTCTCTGCAGGGAATTTGGAGCTGTATAGCAAGATTTTATATGGATTTACCTTAACTTATAGAAATCTACCTGAAAAGTATCTTAGAAAAAGCATAAAAAGATAAATGAACAGAGCTATTCATTCACTGAAGCACTATTTGTAAGAGAAAGACTGGAGCACAAAAATTCCATCAGTAAGTATTCTTGCTAAAGTAAATGGAACCTGAATCTGATCAAATCTCTACATATAGCTATCAATTTACTAGAAATGCAAGAGACAGAAAAACATGTTAAATGACACCTCCAGGATGTAACCAGCACAATCCAGACTGTGAGAAACTATAAAAAACAAAACTTACTCAAGACACTGAGCTGGCATGGCCTGTGGACTGAAGGGTCCTGGGTTCAATTCCTGTCAAGGACACATGCCCAGGTTGTGGGCTCGAGCCCTAGTGTAGGGAATGCAGGAGGCAGCTAGTCAATGATTCTCTCTCATCATTGATGTTTCTATCTCTCCCTCTCTGCGATCAAAAAATTTTTAAAAACTTATTCAAGAAATAAATTACAAGGACACAAGAGGAAGGAGGAGAAAAAATAAAAAAATTTCAATATAAATATAAATTTCAATATAAGAATATTATTTAGATACTGTTTTAATAAAGTTTAAGAAAAATTGGAGAAAAAACAGAGAAATGTAACATTGAGTGGAAGTTTGATATTATTAAGAAGTTTTTGTCATTTTTAATGGTAATACTGTTGGAGGATTTGGGAACATGCTAAAATATTTATGGTTGAACATTATGTCGTCTCAGATTTGCCTCAAAATAACCTGTCACAGGAGAAATTGTAGGTGGGAGTAAAGAAGAAATAATGGCCAAAAGGTGATCACAATTGAAGCCGGATAATGTTACATTAGAGATTAATGACACCATACATTCTAATTTTACATACGCTAACAATTTTCCATAAAATAACATTTATAAAAAGAAACAGTACATGGATACTTGAATTGGACAAGTTCATTTTTATTAAGCAAATAAATTCTAATAAAAGTAATCATAAAGATCTCTTTTATACTTAAAATAGTAATGAACAGTTAACATGTAATGTATCACAATTTAGTCTCTGTTTTGAGCCCAAATATACTATTTGGCTTCAGGTTCAACCTCAGCCTTTGGAAGACTAGATCACTCAATGTCCACATAAGTCTCTTATCTGTCATCCTAGAACTTACGCATGATCCCTGACACAGTGATTATTATATAGGTGACCATCACATTTAATCAGTATACCAATACCAATAATATAATTCAGGTAAGTCTTCTGAATTTATTCTTAATTAACAATAATTTTTATTATTTAAAAAAAATAGTTAAGTATCTTAAATGTAACTTAAAGCAAAAAACATACTTACGTGCTTTAAATGTTAACATTCTATCGTTCACTTTTAAGTATATTTACATTTAAAACTGCCAGAGTACTGTTGTAATAATTAACAATGATTGTTAAAGCTGTTAATTTCATGTGTAGAAAAATGAGCACATTTAATTAATAAAATATGGAACTTTTAGAAAAATAAAATAGTCTTCTTGAGTCAATATATATTTTATAAAAATTCCAATAATATAAGAAAGAATAACAGAGATGACATTCTATTCATAATTTTAGTTGATGTAGACTATTGGGCATATTAGCATTCATAATATTAAAAAGTTAAACTTTAATAGTTGTATTTAATTTCCAGGTCAATTTAATCCTTGAGTCTTTCAAGAAAAAAAATCATAGTTTGGAATTGTCCACATCTTACAAGAGTAAATTAGAAGCAAAATGTTTACTTGCTATCTCTAAATTGGAGAAAAGAAGAATCCACAAAATATATATAACAATATTCCCAATAAATCTTCCTTAATACAAAGGTAGTAAAAAATGAAAACTATTTTAAAAAGAAAGTGTTTAAAAATGATGAGAGAAGTAATCTAGCAGCTGATAACACTGAGAAATTATTATAATGTCAAACTTCAAAAACCTCATTAACTATTAAAAATTTTTAAATACTTTTATTATTTGATAATGACTCTGTTATCAAAGTGAAATTCACTTTGTTCATAGGAGGTCACAGTTCAATTCCTGGTCAGGGCACATGCTCAGGTTTGCTGGCTTGATCCCCAGTGTGAGATGTGCAGGAGGCAGCTAATCAATGATTCTCTGTCATCATTGATATTTCTATTCCTTTCTCCCTCTCCCCTCCTTTCTGAAATCAATAAAATATTTTTAAAAAAACATAGAAATTCACTTTGTTCAAATAGAGACTTTAACACTCAAACATCCCACATTCACCAAATTGTTATTTTTTGGTGCATATGGATGGACGGGTGGGTGGGTAGATGGGTAAAAAGATAGACAAAATAAACATATCGATAATATTAGGACTGTGTACACATGTGTAAATATGTATATGTACGTATTCCAATAGTGACAAGAATATAGAGAAAATGTTTGCGGCAGCATCTTTATTACAATAATACTTTTGGATAAAGCTAAAAACCATATTTTTTTGCTCAGACATTCCAGTCAAAGGAATTTATCCTATACAGTAGAGGATTCTAAAACATAAAAGGAGTCCATGCATGAAGACATATACTGAAGCATAATTCCCAAAATCATAAAATTAAATATAATTCAAATATCCCAAAATGGGGATGTAATAAAACATGTATTTTTTTTCTATTTGGAGTACTCATTAATCCAGTTTTTGCTCTATTTCTTTTTGCTATCCTTAATATCCTAATTCCAATGTCACTTCCTCAGGAAAACTTTCCCACTCTCCCACAAAAGGTACATTCCATGAGAGTAGGGGCTATATTTTATTCACCATTGTATCTTCAAGGCACATGATAAATAGTATTTACTTGAGTGATTAAATATCATAAGATAGCCGGGACCGGTTTGGCTCAATGGATAGAGCGTCGGCTTGGGGACTGAAGGGACCCGGGTTCGATTCTGGTCAAGGGCATGTACCTTGGTTGCGGGCATATCCCCAGTAGGGGGTGTGCAAGAGGCAGCTGATCGATGACTCTCTCTCATCGATGTTTCTAACTCTCTATCTCTCTCCCTTCCTCTCTGTAAAAAATCAATAAAATATATTTTAAAAAAAAAAAAAATAAAATAAAAAATAAATATCATAAGATAATTAAATATTATCAAGATTATGTGGCAAAATATTAGGGGGAAAACCAGGGTTTTATGTCTATGTTTATCATGGAAAAAATAAAATATGTATGTATACAATTATGTATGTATGTATGTAGGTATGTATGTATACAGTAGATCAGAATAGAAGTCAGAAATATAAAAATAGTTTTATTAGGATGATGTTATATAAGTGATTTTCCCATGAAATTTCTTTAAATGTTCTGATAACATTAAATTATTTTAAAGTTATATCTCAGCCAAACAAATAATGCTCTACTTTTTAAGTGGTATTCTTAGAGGAGATATAACTCATGGATATATGGTAATTTCTTTAGCATAGGATATCAACTGTGTTTAAAATTCATAACAGTTGCCTTTTTAAAATATCTTAATAATAAAAAGCCATGCAAAATGAATGTGACACAAAAATATTAAATATAAATGAAAACTTGTGAAATACCAGAGTTTTTATGCAATAACACAATTTATAATGTAATACTATGCATGATGTACTCTATTATTTTATTCAAGAGGGAAACATATTGCATGGTAATCTTAAACCATACATGGTCCTAAAATACTGTGCACAATCACTTGCACATAAACCCTTTCAAATCTAGTCCAGATTCACCCTTTCTTAGGTCAGGGCAAAAACAGGCATTCTAGAACAGAAGCACCAAGGACATACTTGAACAGTGTTGCAAAAGGAGCCTTAAATCAGAGGGTAATCCATGGCTGGCATTTACTAGCAATTTTTATTTTTCCGATTAAGACAGGAATTGTGGAAAGCTAATGAAATAGCTATATTACTCAAAAATAAAGTTGAATTCAGACTTCTTAAGTTGTTATGAACATTGACTAATGAATGTAAAGTGCATAACACAGTGTCGGAGAACATTCAATAAAGGTTAGCAACTATTCACTATTATTAATAGAAGATTCTAAATACTATTAAAAATGTTATTTATTTTCACATTTACATTTAAATATTTTACTTCCTAGCAATTCAGTTTTATGAAACTAGAAAAACACCCACCTACAACTTCTAACCTTTTGCTCTGTGGCGGCAGCAGCTAATTTTTTTGCTTCAGTTAATGTGTGCAATTGCTGATAGTCTACTGGCTTATACTTAATGCTTCTCATTCCATTTTTCATACCGAATACCAGATTATCTGTTTTCCATCAAAATATAAAACGAGAAAGAAATAATATGTTATTGAACATCAAAATATAGTTATAGCAGCATGCTGACTACAGGTCTTATTTTAAGTAAAGTAAATACAAGAAATAATATATCACAACATTCATAGTATATTTGAACCTATATCTATAGAAACTTAAAATATATCACCACTATATTCCTTGCATAAAATTACTTCTAAATGGTTATCATTTAAATTAGTACAGTGAGAATATTTTAAAGTATAATGCCAAGATACCAAGTGTGACTACTTTTTTAATTTAAAAAATGTTAGGCAGCAACTATAAGTATTTAAGTATCACATTATTATGAATCAAATTAAGTAAATAGATTTTTTAAAGTTATAGCTGGATTTCTTAGAAAAACAAAACAAAAATCAATTCAATGTGAACAGAGGTTGAAAATGAAAGTTAAAAAATGTAATAGGCCAAATAAAATCAAAATAATATGAACAGAGAGTGTAGGGCACTGACCTAGCTGCCCCATCTGCTCCGCAGCCTCGCAGGCCACACACAGATGAGCCGCGCTGCCCTGAGCTGTGGCCAGCAGAGAGCTGTGGGCACCGTGAGTCAGAGGCAGGTGCTGCCAGTGTTGGAGCAGTACCAGAAAGCCCGAGTCCAGTTCCTGCAGATGGTGGCAGAGCTGGCGACCAGACCCCAAAACATGAGACCCTGCAGAATGTGGGTGTAATGTCTTTGCTGAGGCCTATTCTTCTGGATGTAGTCCCAACAACTCAGCCAACTGCCGCTTTGGCTCTTGGGAGAATGGCTAATTATAATGATGACCCAGCAGAAGCAGTTGTCAAGGGCAACATTCTTCCACAGTTTGTTGCTTCCATGGTAGAATAGAATTCTGTTCTAGATATGGCTGCATCCTGCCAAAGGAACAGAGCATGCCGTTCATCTGGACCCTGCTGACTCCAGCTCCATCTCAGAGCCCCCACCTTAACCTTTCAACAGACCTAAAAAACCTCAACCCCTCACAGAAATAGGGCCATTAGCTATCTATCACTCTTGGCCCCTTTGCTCCCTTGAAAAGTGAATACACCTCTTTCTGCTAAAAAATAAATAATAAGAATAAAATGATATGAAATGTTTGGATAGGCATTCTCCATCCAAATACTTAGTTTAGTACATTAACTATTTTGATAAAGTAAAACATAAGTAAAGGGTACTTAAGGATAAGTTGCATAAAGAATAATAACCTGATTGAAGAAAAAAAATTACTTTTACCTTAATTATGATTCATGTGTCTTGTAATGTAATTAAGATTTGTTAAGTATATTACAGATCACATGACTATAAGAAGGCTCTGAACAATATAAGGACAAGCACAGTGAAGAAAAGTATAGTTGGAGATGATTAAAACACCCATTGTATTGAAATAGCATAGTACTGGCACAGGAACAGGCATATAGATCAATGGAAGATAACGGAGAGGCCAGAAATCAACCCACACCATTATGCTCAATTAATATTTGATAAAGGAGGCAAAAGCATACAATGGAGTATAGACAGTCTCTTCAATAAATAGTGTTGGGAAAATTGGACAGGTAAATGAAAAAAAAATGAAACTAGACTACACCTCACACAAGAATAAACTCAAAATGGAAAAAAGACTTAAATGTAAGCCACAAAACCATAAAAGTTTTAGAAGAAGCCATAGGCAACAAAATTGCAGACATCTCACATAGTATTTTTGCCTAGGGCAAGGGAAACAAAAGAAAAAATAAACAAATGGGACTACATCAAACTAAACTACACAGCAAAAGAAACTATCAACAAAATAAAAAGGACACCGTATGGTAGAACATATTCATCACTGATCCATCTCATAAGGGATTAATTTCCAAAATATATAAAGAACTCATTCAATTCAACAAGAGGAAGACAACAATCCAATTAAAAAAATGGGCAAAGGACCAGAATAGACACTTATCCAAAGAGAACACACAGATGGTCAATAGACATATGAGAAAATGTTCAACATCACTAATCATCAGAGAGATGCAAATTAAAATGAATGGCTATCATCAATATGTCAACAAACAAGTGCTGTTGAGGATGTGGACAAAAGGAAGAGCCTGGTACACTACTGGGAATGCAGACTAGTCAGCCACTGTGGAAAACAGCGTGAGGTTTCCTCAAAATATTAAAAATGGAACTGTCTTTGGACCTAGCAATCCCACTTCTGGAAATATTCCTTAAGAAACCCAAAGTACCAATCAGGAAGAATATATGCACACCTATGTTTGTTCATAACAACGTTATTTACAATAGCTGAGATCTGGAAACAGCTCAAGTGCCCATCAGTAGGTGAGAGGATTTAAAAAAAGCTGTGGTACATTTATATAAGGGAATTCTATGCGGCTGTAAAGTAAAAAAAAAAAAAAAAAAAAAAAAAAAAAAAAAAAAAAAAAAAAGAACTAACTCTTACCCTTTGCTACAGTATGGATGAAGATAGAGACTATTGTGCCAAGTGAAATAAGTCAATCAGAGAAGGACAATATCACATGATCTCACTTACCAGTATATGTGGAATCTAATGAACAAAATAAACTAACAAAATAGAATCAGGGGCATGGATTCACAGAACAGACTAACAGATCTCACAGGGTGTTAGGGAGGACTGGAAGAGATTAAGCAAAGAACATATACGCATATATGTACACAGACAATAATGCGGTGAAGACCTGAGGTAGTTCAGGGGCTAGGTAGATGAAGGCATGATGGGAGGAGGGGGGAAATGGGGAACATCTATAATAGTGTCCACCAATAAAAAACATTTTTAAACACTCATTGTAAGTGAACTAAAGAAACCTTCATTTTGACCCAAAAAAATTAGCTTTCCATGATTGAAATTTTAAAAATCAATATTCCAACTTTATATCTGCAAAATCCACCATAAATCATAAAACAGACATGAAAAAAAAATTTACCTGAGGTATCTTTTTCCTGAATTGTCATGACTGGTCGGTCTCTTTTACTCATGCTTTCCATATCTGTCAAGGAAACCAGAGACAGCTAAATTTTATAATGTGATTTTTAAAAACATTTTTAAAGATGTGTTAATTGTAGTGTTTTTTGTTTTTTTTAAATAAGGCCCAGGACTAGGTGCACTTTGTTAAAATTTTCTTATCCTTACTTTTAGAAGCCTTCTTCCATTTGTTTTTTTCCCCCTCTTGCCTTGCAGTTTTTGGTCTCCCAATCTCTAACTTCTTAATCCCCCCCCCCTTAAATTGTGCCAGTGATTGATAAGTATTTTGGAATTAAAAAATTATGTATGTTTTGCCAAAACCGGTTTGGCTCAGTGAGTAGAGCGTCGGTCTGCGGACTGAAAGGTCTCAGGTTCGATTCCGGTCAAGGGCATGTACATTGGTTGTGGGCACATCCCTGGTAGGGGATGTGCAAGAGGCAGCTGATCGATGTTTCTCTCTCATTGATGTTTCTAACTCTCTATTCCTCTCCCTTCCTCTCTGTGAAAAATCAATAAATTATATATTTTTTAAATTATGTATTTTTTCCTTTGAGTTTCTGGGAGGAAAGAAACTACATAAAGAATAAAGCAACTATCCAAATTACTCCCTACTTCAATTAAGCAATATTGCACTTGTGGTGGACAGGGGAATGTGCCATCCACTTCTACATATCACCTGATGCCCGGCTGTCGCCTCCTTCAGGGATGGACTCAGCAACAGAGTCCAAAGACATACCATTGCTGGGGCAGCCAACACCTGATGAATGAGCAAGACAGGGAGATAAAGACCTAGCAATGTGGACCCAATGTGGGCCACTCTGATTTGCAATATATGTTCCAAAGTTCCTTGCAGGGTTGACCCAGATTTCATTGAACCTGCATTGAAATTTATTTTTTCATCTCTCCTATTTTTCTTCCCCCATCGTCCTTTCACAAGTTTGGATCCGCGGATAAACATCGAGCACCAAAATTCTGCCGTAGCACCTTCCTGAGGAAGTATCCACCAAATGGAACTGAGCACCTCTAGGGCATCCGATGAATCCAGTGGTTCTCTAAGTAATACTACCTACTTTTCACAAATTTTTTTTTTGATAAATCTTTATTGTTCAGATTATTACAAATGTGATCCTCTTCCCTCCCTCAATTGCTCCCCTTCACCAGGTTCCCATCCCACCCTCTGTCCTTTCCCCATCCCCCAATGTCCTCATCCATAGGTGCTCAGTTTTTGTTCAGTCTCTTCCCACACCCCCACTCCCCTTTTCCCTGAGAATCATCAGTCCACTCCCCTTCCATACCTCTGATTCTATTATATTCACCAGTTAATATTGTTCATCAGATTTTTTAATTCCCTTGGTTTTTAGATTCACTTGTTGATAGCTACGTGTTTGTTGATCATAATTTTTATCTTTATCTTCTTCCTCTTCCTAAATAACCCCCTTCAGCAATTCATATAATTCTGGTTTGATGATGATGAACTCTTTTAGCTTTTTTTAATTTGTGAAGCTCTTTATCTGTCCTTTGATTCTGAGTGATAGCTTTGCTGGGTAGATTATTTTTGGCTGTAGGTTCTTGCTATTCATCACCTTGAATATTTCTTGCCATTCCCGTCTGGCCTGCATGGTTTCTGTTGAGAAATCAGCTAACAATCTTATGGGTGCTCCTTTATAGGTCACTATCTGCTTTTCTCTTGCTGCTTTTAATATTCTCTCTTTGTCTTTTGCTCTTGGAATTTTAATTATGATGTGTCTTGGTGTGGTCCTCCTTGGATTCCTTTTGTTTGGGGTTCTGCGGGCTTCCTGGACTTGTAAGTCTATTTCTTTCCCCAGATGGGGGAAGTTTTCTGTCACTATTTCTTCTAGTATCCTTTTGGTATCTTGCTCTCTCTCTTCTTCTGGAATCCCCATAATTCTGATGTTGGTTCGCTTGAAATTGTCCCAGAGGTTTCTTACACTATCTTCAACTTTCTTGATTCTCTTATCTTCTCCCTTCTGCAGA